CGGTTTCCGTCCGATCCAGCCATCCGAGAAAAAATGGATGCTGTTTGTTTGCAACCCACAGACATAATAACATGTCATGTGTACAAGTATCACACCTGCATGTCTGTGTAATTACATAATGCGACAGAGACAGAACTTCAGGTGCACGAGCCATAAATCAACGGATTTTGTTTGTGGTGTATAGCCTGATACGTTTCAAGTTCAAATTGCATGTGGTCAATGATTGAAGTTGTGTATTGCATATTGTCATTAGCAGACAGGCAGGCAGACACATAGGTGTCAATACAACAGACATTGAGTTTTGTCTGTGACAGAGGCTGCTTATCACAATCAACATGTTTTTCTATGTTTCCATAGACATGTATTAAAACATTTCAGTTTTCAAGCTGAGCAATTTTAAAGAAAGAAATTAGTATTTCTAATGCTACACTCTCTGGTAAACTTGGTTTGCAAATCTGCCAACCCTCCAAAAGCAAGATGTGAAAACATATAAGAAAAAGTATGGGACCAGTGTATTTTTATTACTGCAGATCAAAGATGCTTGTAATCACAAGAAACGTCTTTTGTTCTCCAACTTCGACCCCAGCGATAATCCTTGCACGCATCACTTGCTGTGTTTTTACGAGTCGCCTTCCCGGTTCAAGCCGCGCGAACCTAAACACTGCGCATGCGCTATGGGCGCAGCGCAGCACAGCTGTTGAAATCACTTTTCACCCCAGCGCTGGGGTGAAATTAATGAATCGTTTGAACTCCGATTTCGCGCGGTTTTTTTCATCGCTTTATTTTTCAACTTTAAACGTTGAATTTGCATTTTTGATCATTTGTTACTGTAAGTCCATACCGAAAGGTATCAGAATCTGCAAAGTTGTGTTTTGCGTTGCATGTGACCTTTAATGAACGATTTGCGAAAAACTATTCGCCAGAAAGGCCGTGGGATGTAAACACGTGGTGTTCTACTTTTGCATGACACCGCCCCGGTTCACAAGTCGAGAACTGCACAGGCTGCCATGCGTGAATGTGGATTCGAACAGTTAGTTAAATCACCCACCCTACAGCCATGATCTAGCCCCCAGTGACTATTTCCTGTTCCGGCACATGAAATCTGCCCTACGTGAAAGAAGCATCGGTGATAAATGTGTACAGTGGATGTCAAGTTGAAAGTATGGTATATGTGGCAGGTGCGTGATTTGACCATGGGATATGAACATACAATACAGATAAACGTACTGCACCTTTGTTCTATTAGCTTAAGAAATACTGGTCCCGGATTATGTCCGATGTTCGTTGTCAGTTTGACCCGTCGCGGTTTTCAGGTAGTGGAACGCGGTCACTAGACTGTGATAGTTCCACTTTTCAATAACATATACTGTCATAAATTATTTGTTAACTTTGCCCGTTTCTTCCATGTTAATATGTATATAAATATTGAAAGTATTCTTAAAAATCGTACTGATGAGATTTTGTTAAAGGTCACATGCAACGTAAAACACAACTTTGCAGATTCTGATACCTTTCGGTATGGACTTACCGAAACAAATCATCAAAAATGCAAATTCAACTTATAAAGTGGATAAATAACGCGATGAAAAAAACCGCGCGAAATCGGAGTTCAAACGATTCACTAATTTTCCCCCGACTTTTCGGGGGAAAACTGGTTTCAACAGCTGGGCTGCGCTCATAGCACGTACGCAGTGAAATAGGTTCGCGCAACTTGGAAGCGGGCTGTCCGGTGAATACTCGGTGAAGGCTTTGGTGTGAGCTATTTTCCTAATGTTTTGTTGATATCTCACGGGCGCGAGCTTTTTATATGTTATGACAGTAAATTCACATTAATCATTCCAAATTCATACTTGTACAGACATGGTTTTGTATGAAAATCAGGGGTTTTTTTTAAAATGAGCAATTATCATCATAAAATCAACATGCATTCCAATCATTTTGTCGTTTTTATGAGTCAAAGGATCACACGGGTCAGAAAAATTCATGTTTTTCAATCGTGGTCACCACGAGAAGTTTTATGTACGTGTCGAAAACCTACCATCGCAAAAATACAAGGGGTGCTTAAGTAAGTTATTTATGTATAGATCCATGTACCTCTTGTGAATCCTCTTGTGTAGACGCTGATGGATATCCTCTACGAGCACTCCCCAACATGGCTTCCATCAAACAATGTGCAGACTTTATCCTTACTGAATGTTTCAGCTTAGTAGGTCTCACAGTCCCCAACCACATTATTTTCCCTTACGCTCTGCCCTTTCTGAAATGTTACAGATTTAAATGAAGCAAGTCTAGATTTCTTCAGATTCAGAATCTCCCATTGGTGCCCCTTTTCAACTTAAAAGAAGGTATTTGTTTCTATCAGAATGATATATGTTCAGAGACTAGGCGCCAGTCTAGATCCAGGTGGCGGTAGAAATAACGTGTACTCTGGAAGTCCGAGCTAACTATCCCACCCATAAACAAACGTAACCTCATTCCATCTGAACAAACCTCATTCCGTCTGTAAATAGAATCACGAGATGGTGGGAAAAGCGGGAACAGTGTTAAAATGTAGATTTTGTGTCGTCTGCTTCCTTGCTATCCACAACTCAACTCACCCATGTCCAAGGTCTCGTCACTATGGCTGGAATAATGCCGATGTGACGTAAAGCCCAACTCAACTCCTTGCTATCCAGGTTTAAAAGTGCAAGGTCATACCCTCACTACGGGCATACACTCGAGACTACACTCATGTGTTATCGGGGCTAAAACTGAATCATGCAGGAGATGGCTACATGATGGTGATGTATTTGGTAATTGTATCATTGTTGTGTTTTAGGGGCGGTGGGGTAGCCTAGTGGTTAGAGCGTTCGCTCGTCATGCCGAAGACCCAGGTTCGATTCCCCACATGGGTACAATGTGTGAAGCCCATTTCTGGTGTCCCCGTCGTGATATTGCTGGAATATTGCTAAAAGTGGCGTACATGTACGTAAAACTAAACTCACTCATTGTTGTGTTTTGGGCCTTAATTGTGCAGAGTGCAATTAAACGCCTCATAAATATTTTGAAATTTTTGTCCATACCTGGGCCCCGTTTCACAAATCGTAGCGTTAAGGTGATCGTAACTCCCATACTTTAACATAGACTTACGACAGTTGTGGTACATAGCGCTATACGATCGCTTTGTGAAACGGGCCCCAGCTGAAATTGGGGTGAGTGGTTGAAGCGTCAGCTCGTCACACATTCGGCCCAGGTTCTATTCCAACATGGGTAATGTGTGAAGCCCAATTCTGGTATCCCTAGCAGGGATATTGCAGTACTATTGCTATATATAAGCTGTGTAGTGCTCACTCACACTGGGTGAGCGAGTGAGTGAGTGTGTGTTTAGTTTTACACCGCTTTTAGCAATATTCCAGCAATATCACGGCGGGGGGACACCAGAAATGGGCTTTACACATTGTACCCATGTGGAGAATCGAACACGGGTGTTCGCCCTGACGACCGAACGCTTTCACCACTAGGCTATACACCCACCCGCTGGATGAATTAATATTAAACACTTCTTTAAACCCCATTTCTCATCACCACAACTCGTGCAAACATACCCAGCTTATAGCACGCATATGGTACTGAACGATCAAGGGTTATAATCGACGTGATCTGGGAATGAAACCCACGATCATCGGATCCAACCACGGCTACAAGGGACATAATTCAGCAGCACATGGTATCTTGTAAATCACGCTATTCATATCTTGGGCGAGACACAGGGTAAGTGTGTCATTATTTATTTATACTACCAGGATGCACTGGGGACGATGGCCTACCCCGACATAAACATAAATAAAGGATCAAAGCCGTTGTTGATGACAGCTCAGGATCATTATAGCCATTTGTATATCTAGTTTGTTCCTGGCACTCTCATTCTAACAAGCCCCATGCATGGGGATCCAGGTTAGAATTGGTCTTCAGCAGTCCATGCTTCCTTTACGAGTCAACTAATGGATGATCTGGCTCGCTGACTATAGTCCGTTTGGCTCAAAAGCGGACCGATGAATTGCAATCTAACTCGAAAACTAATAAACATAACATACTCAATGAAACGCTGATCATAATCAAAACATCATACCAACTCTGTGAGGATTTTGCAGAATTTTTGTCCTAAAAATTATAAAGTTGTTTAACAATCTATCATTAAAATATTGACACAATTCACTGTTTGTTACAAGGGAGGAGTGCAGAGACAGGGACAGCCAGGTGTTCGAGAAGCACGTTCACAGACAAAGTTATTTATTCATTAACCTGTGCTGTGCCGTCTCCATCCGTATAGATGCGTCATTGTATCCCACTTCCGTAGATCGATGCTCATAGTAACAATAATAATAACAATGACAATGAGTATCTATAAAGCGTTGTATCCATCCACAAGGTGCATGGTCAAAGCGCATAAATTGTGAGAAACGTTAAACGTAATGAAATAAGGTATGAAATAAGACCTATGAATACAGGCGCGTAGCAAGCCATTTTTTTCGTGTAAGCCCGATAGGTTGCAAAGCTTTATATGTACCTAGTATTGAGGGCTTGCCTAACTATAATAGCAAAAATCATTTGTAAGCCCGGGCATCTTTTATAATGGTAGCTACGCCCCTGGAATAATAGCCTGAAATAAGGCCTATGAATAGTAGCAGGAGATCATGTCTATCAATTAACGTCTATGAATAATAGGATGAAATAAAGTCTATGAATAATAGCCTGAAAATAGGTGCGTCTTGGGTTTTGACTTGAAAACAGTTAATGACTATGAAAGTTTGATTTCCAGAGGAAGTTTTTCCATTGTTGAGGAGCTGCGTGACTAAAGGATTTTCGTCCACAGCTGGTCAGATTATACTTTGGTATGTTCAGAAGATTCATATTTTGAGATCGAAGAGTCTTGATAGGGATATAGTCTACTAATATATTAGAGAGATATCATGGTGCCATGTCATTTGGCATTTGTGCACCATACATAGAAACCACATGACTGTCTGGTCAATTAGTTACAGACCGCCGCCACAAGCTGGAATATTACGTGAGGCGTTAAACGTGAAATAAAAACAGACTGACTGACTGAGTTTTAGTTTTACGCCGCTTTTAGCAATATTCCAGCAACATCACGGCGGGGGACACCAGAAATGGGCTTCACACATTGTACCAATGTGGGGATTCGAACCCGGGTCTTCGGCGTGACCAGCCAACTCTTTAACCACTAGGCTACCCCACCGCAACCATAGCAATCCTACTGTGGCACAAATCTTACTCGTGAACACAATGATTGGTAATGAGGTATATTGTGGAAAATGAATCTGTTTCAGTAATTACATAAACTAAACACAAAACACCACAAATATACTGCTTGGATACCTTTTATTGGTTAATTAGCTATTTGAAAGCTTCAGGTTCCATCACATCCTCTAAGCCATATATAGACAGGATCCAAGTCTGGCACTTGACGGCCGCAGACACAAACACTCGGCCGAGATGAGCGTGTTCGGAGATTACGTCTCGTGTAGAGCTGCTGGTATATATCAAGTACGATCGCCTGTAAACATTCCCTGCAAAGTAGGAATTTCCGAGTATACATCTCACATACCTTCACGTATCTGTACATACACTGATGTACATGTAATTTGGGGAACATTGTTTTGGGGCTGAAGATTTGAAACTCCACACACCGTTCGTTTAAAAGCTCCCACCGTCGTCGCTCAACACGCTTTGGAATATTTCTTCCATCTTTTGAACTCGCATCTGAGTGTTTTCCGACTCACGTTCAAAATATTTGAAATTTGAATGAGTGAGTTTGATTTTATGCCTTTAGCAGTATTCCAGCGTTATCACGACGGGGGACACGAGAAATGGGCTTCACACATTGTACCCGTGTTGGGAATCGAACCCAGGTGGTTTTCAGCGTGACGACCGAACACTGTGAGCACTAGGCTACCCCAACTGCCTCTGTTGAGACTGAGAGATGGAGCACTACTCCAAGATATGATTACCTATCTAAGTTACATAACTCACGAGATACCAGACGAATTTCACTTCTTATTTCGTTGTGGGCTTTTAGACAATAAAAATGAACAAGCATGTTTCCAAACATCTCGAAGCCAAACCGCCGTTTATGTTCTCCTAACTGTAATCATTTAAAGCAAATTAGCAGGTGCAGTTGTCAATACTGAATTAGGTAAGTAGTCATATATATACAGAATGAAATCAACTAATTGTATGTATCATTTCAAACAGCGTTGTTTAGAAGCTCAAGGCACCTATACAAAAATACTTCGAGTAATACGATGTTCGAAACAACCGTGAAATGATAACTAAATAAGGAGTACGCAGGGACCAAGCGTTAATTTCGAGACAACCGTACGTCCGACACTATATTGTTTCTTTTACTTCGAGACAACCGTACGTCAGACACTACATTGTTTCTTTTACTTCGAGACAACCGTACGTTCGACACTACATTGTTTCTTTTACTTCGAGACAACCGTGCGTCCGACACTACATTGTTTCTTTACTTCGAGACAACCGTACGTTCGACACTACATTGTTTCTTTTTCTTCGAGACAACCGTGCGTCCGACACTACATTGTTTCTTTACTTCGAGACAACCGTGCGTCTGACACTACATTGTTTCTTTTACTTCGAGACAACCGTACGTTCGACACCACGATGTTTGTAGTTACACACAGATGTATACCCCCCACCGTCTTCATTCATTGATGGTGTTAAATATCATGTACTGTATATTATCCGGGTTAGAGCTGGTCTTCAGTAACCCATGCTTGTCGTAAGAGACGATTAACGGGATTGGGTGGTCAGGCTTGTTGACTTGTTTGACACATGTCATCGTATCCCAGTTGCGTAGATCGATGCTCATGCTGTTGATCACTGGATTGTCCTGTCCAGACTCGAGTATTTACAGACCGCCGCCATATAGCTGGAATATTGCTGAGTGCGGCGTAAAAGTTTTGAAGCTCATGTACTGTATCCGTGAACATCAAGGTTACAATTTGTCTTCAGCAACCCATACATGGTTTAAGCATATTTTTATTTCGCCAAAGCAGAAACCTGGACAGGCGAACAAGCCTAGGGGCTTATATAAACGTCGCTCCAGTAAATTGTTCAAATAGCTGGATACATAAATGAAATAATTTGACAACAAAAGAATAATACAATAACAGATATATGATTGAGTAACGAATATGTTCGTTGTGGTGTTGGTTATGCCTAGCAACGAAATGAGCTGCCGCAGAAAATCACGTTATATAAAGTTTGTCTTACACTGAATATATATGTTGAGGTGGTAATCACTGGAAGCGGTAACTTTTAGAAATGAACTGGTGTAATGAGTTAAGAATGCCACTATTAGTTGAGTTATTCAATGCGCCGTTACCGTATAGAGTAGTTTTAACATCGTATCCTTGAATATGAAAATACACAGTTGTTTATCATAACGTCTTCGTTATAATAACCACATGAACACCTGGGTGTTTCCGATATATGTCGATTATATCTGTCTGCGTTTAGATCACTACAGCGGAGCTTGAGGCGACAATAAATGATTTGACAAAATCTAGTCCCAAAATTCAAATCAAAGTAATTGTGACCCATACTTGTCACGGCGACTCACGGGATGAAGAAAAAAATCTAAGGAATCTGAAGAATCTGAAAGCTGTTTGTTGATATTTGCAGTTGACTTCCAGGGCTACACAGTACACTAGCCGAGTACATTTAGAGTTTTAATTGAAACGGGAACCTAGTCTGTCTCACAGTCCCTGAACCCAAATTTTTTTCCCCTTTTCTGCAAAGCTAAAGCCCTAAATGAATCAGGCCTAGGTTTCCCCAGGTACAGCTTCTAAGTCTCCCCTCTCGCTGGGGATCCTTTACAATTTTTAAGAAATTGTTTGTTTCTATCAAAGTTATCTATATTCAGAGACTAAGCGGTAGTCTACAATGTCACTTGTGGATAATATATAGTCTTTCTTTATTAAGCGCTACAACATCACATTAAGGGCTGGGCGGAAAGGAAAACGATATGGTTGAGGGACTGTGAGACAAACTAGCCGTCTTTTGTTATGGGATATGTGTTATCTTTTTGAAAAAGTCTTATTGGCTAGACTAGAAATCTGGGTACAAGAATACATACCCTCATTTCCAGACAAGCTCCAATTTGGGTTTAGAAAGGAACATGGAGCAACCACTTCAGTCTTTACTCTAAACGAAAGCTTATCATATTATCTAAGCAGAGGTTCTCCAGTTTATACAGCCTTTATGGACAATGAGAAGGCGTTTGATCGCATATGGCATAATGGACTCTTTTTAAAGCTATATTAAATGGGTATAAAGGGCAAAATGTGGCAGCTCCTATATCAAAGTTATACATCAAGCTCTGCTTTTGTGCAATATTGTGGTCTGAGATCAAATGAATATGTTATCAAGCAAGGTGTTGGGCAAGGTAGAGTCTTGTCTTCCTGGTTTTTCCTTGTTTTTATTAATGATTTGATATGTGAACTTAGAGATTTGAACAATGGCATTTGTGTAAGTGGCATTAATATCCCATGTATTCTATTGGCTGACGACACAACACTTGCTTCCACCTCTCCAAAAGGTCTCCAATCATCACTTGATACTATTTATAGCTATGCTTGTAAGTGGCGTCTAACGTATAAGGGTTCTAAAAGCACTTGTGTCATTATCTGCAAATATAAGAAACGTCTGGGTAATTATTCTTTCAAATTTGGTGACTCAGAAATACCAATAAGTGATTGTGTTAAGTATGGAGGCATTTTACTTTCGTCTGATCTATCCCCAAAATCTAGAGTATATTCATACTGCCAGAAAGCACGACAATCTGTAAATTCTCTAAAAAGTCTTGGTTTAAACGGTAAAGATCTCCACCCTACTTCTTCTGTTAAAATATGGAAAAGAATGATACTTCCAACGAGCTTTTACGGTTGTGAACTTTTACCCATTCTTCGAGGTAAAGATAATGACTTGGTAGAAAGTACACAGAGATATTTTGCCAGATGCATTCAGGGTTTCGGTAAGCGCTTTTCCTCTGCTTCAGTGCTAGGTAACCTTGGATTGTGGAGCATGGATGGTTATATAGATAAATGTAGACTATTATTTCTCGGCAAGCTGTGCAACAGCAAGTGTAATTCTTCATTTAAGGATATTATCTGTGTACATTTAGCCACCTTTCAAAACAGAACAGCTGTCTTACACAGCATATGTGACACACTTATTCAAACCAGTTTAAAATACAATCTCTTCAATTATCTTAGTGACTATCTCGATTTTGGAAGGTTTCCATGTAAATCGTCATGGCGAAGAATAACTATTAATTGCATAAATAAATCTGAAACTGAACGATGGATTTCTCACGTGTGTGTAAGGCACGATATGAATAGATATCGCTTGACCCACAATTTCTTTGGTGTACATAGATTGTATTGTTTGATGTATTTTTACCCACAGTTTAAAGATATATTACAGTTTTGTGTACAAATCAGCTCAAGGGGAAAATTCTCAAAACATTGTGAACTCTGCAAAATATATTGTAATGATTATGACTGCCATATAATTTTACACTGTGAACACTATATGTACAACAGAAATAATTTCTTTTCAAAACTTATAGATCTCTTTCATGTGGATGTTTATGTACAAATAGAATTATTATCTGAAGATGAAATGTTATCACTATTTTCTGGGGGTGAACTACTAGTTACTAACGATATTGATGAAATGTCATGGAGATGTATGATTGTCCTCTTCTGTAAATACCTATATTCCTTGCTTCCTTCACTAAACTGTGCATTCTAGACCTTTCATCCTTTCTTTGTACATATATATGACTATATGAATGTGTTGTGAATATATTGCTGTGATTATGTTGCTGTAAATATTTCATGTACATGTTTATAATGATCTTCGGAATATAATCTGGAGGAAATAAAGAGATTCATTCATTCATTCATTCATATCTTGCCTGAACAGAGCTGAGAACATCAACAAATCTCCACTTCCCGCCCTCCTATTGAAATGAATAAACATTTAACATGCATAGTTTACATTATCACGGGAAGTACGATGTGTTGGTTTCAGAAAGACGCTCTCGCTGCCTCCAGTTAAACTGTAACATCTTTTGTCTGTATCCTGTCACTCTGAACACGATCTGCCATTGAGAACTTCGGTTACGGACATGGGCTAGGTTTGCCGAGTTTACCACAGGGGTTCGAATCACTGTTTGGACAATAATTTAAAAACAAAACAAATTGCAATCATATGATGTTATGATTAACATATTTTTCAAATTTGAACACAATAGGTGAAAAAACCCCGAAGATTTTAGAAAATTCTACCGCTAAACTCATTACATGACATACACTGGACAATAATTTAAAAAATAAAAATCTAGATTTATTCACCGATTTCGTTCAAATTTGAAATGTATGTTAATCATAACGTCAGTGTATGAAATAAGCCAAAAACCCAGCCAGACATCTGGGCTGGTAACTTAAAAAACTGACCAGCCCAGAAAAGATTTGACCAATCAGTGCCAGTGGGCATGTTGTCGGAATATTGTTTTTTCACCCGTCTATATCGGCCTGGCTAGCTCTAAAATTAGACCCTCCGGCAGAAATAAGGCCCGTCTCGGGCGGTCGGACGGGCCTTATTTCATACACTGATAACATATGAAAACAATATATGATTGCAAAAGTCTAGATATTTATTTTTAATTTGGTTTGGTCAAAACAGTGAAACAGTGGATTTGACCCTGTTAGGTCCAAACATTCTTCTTTCTGAGCGACTGAAATACAAAACGTCAAGGAGGATTTAATTTGTTCTATAACAAAGATTCTTTAAACGGACATTTGTTAATCCTATCAAGTCCATTGGGTACGGTATCGGCCGGATAATCGGGGTTCAACCCTATTACGTCATGCTCAGCATTCGAACGTATAGTCTGTCCAAAAATCTTAACCATCAGTAAACAAAATTACGTAAACATATTTCTTTCACTGTTAAATATTTACACGATCACCGGTTGCAGGAGGGGTATGGAAGCAAAATAACACCCGGTTTGGACACAGGATGTAAATATTGGCAGACAGTACACCAGCTTCTGGTGCGGTAAAAAACTGGTCATTTGTGTCGTTTACGCAAATCGGGTATGTTTATGAAACAGGCTATAGTCTATTCAAAACACGTGAAGGTTGAAGAGATAAATCGTTTGCCTATTCAACTGCGATTACTGTTCAAAGCACAAAGAGCCGGTTACCTTAAATGGGAATACAGACTGATCCGCTCTGATTAATAAGCCCAACATTTCTCATGGTACAGAAGTATACCTTAGATTTGTCTAACAGAGGGCTGAACACCTCGGCTGACAACTTTATGTGAGTTGATATTGGGATCCGTGCATGGAGTTTTATACAAGAACAACATTCATTGTCGCTTTTGACAGAGGATATACCAACGGGCGCAGCGATTAAGGTGGTGAACAATGTAAGTTTGTATATAATGTGACAAAATATTATCGGTATCCTTATCGACAGAAACATCAAAATAGTTCAGATTGTAAACTTCCACCATCAATGAATATATTTTTACAGAGCCTTAAAGCCTGGAAGAAGACGTCAATACGAATTCCTCTCGATCCTTAAAGCGGGTCTTCCGTCTGATATTTTGCTTGGTTAAGGACTGCATGGCCAGTTAATATAGGGGCTGCAGTAAGACTGTTTGTTGCGTGTTTGGTTACTTTACACTCAGCAATTTTCCAGCTATATGACGGGGTCTGTATATATTCGAATTTAGATAACAGTAAACTGTTATATATATAGTTTGGTAGTCTGTCATACAAACTCTTATAAAAAACAATATCCAGGACGCCCATTCAAGTCTAGAATGTTTTGCAAGTCTAGATTACCACAATGAAAGAAAGTCTCTGGGCTCCTTTTTAATATATTTTATTGTTATAATTTAGGTACCGTTTTTCTGTAAATTATGTTCATTTCAGAGACTCGTTGTTAGTCTAACACAGTGGCTGCAATTAACAATCCGAACGAAAACAGGAAAATCTTTGGAAAGTGATATTTTAGCCATATCCGGTATCGTAGTCTCAAACCCGGGGTTAGAATTGATCTTCAGTAACCCATGCTTGTCGTAAGAGGCGACTAACGAGATCGGGTGGTCAGGCTCGCTGACTTGGTTGACGCATGTCATCGTATCTCAAATGTGTTCATCGATGCTCATACTGTCGATCACTGGATTGTCTGGTCCAGACTCGATTATTTCCATACCGCCGCCAAAAACTGGAATATTGTTGAGTGCGGCGTAAAACTAAACTTAGGCACTCACTCGTATAGTCTCACACTGTATAACAGCATCAGCCGGCCTCGTTTATTATACTTATACCTTCATGTTTCAAGGTATATTTCCACCTTGGAGGACTATCTAACTGCCTCGCCAGTTTGAGTAACAGATACACCTGTAAGTAAGGCAACTTGCCAGTGCAGTCGCCAAAAGAAAAATATCCGGTTTAAATGACTTTTCCAACGTTTATACACATATCAACAAGTGTAGTCACCGATCAATAATTCACACATACGATCAGCGTACAATTGCCAGTGGCGTTTCACACGTTTATACACATGCACTCAGAAGCTATCATATAATTCGCATTCCAGCTGATAATGACTTCGCGGAAGCGGAACGTGACCTATTTACAACGTCCAATATTCCAGTTCTTCAGTACTGATAGGAGTGTCTATGATACCGCGTGCCTTGAGCGGTGTCTGGTTGCCCTGTCATACCCAACAATGGCTTTATCCAACCGAAATCAATACCGGTTCGCTTGAGCGCGTCAGGGTTAAAAAGGGTAATTTGCGACCAGCCTGTTTTCCTCTCTCTCATGTTTGAGAGTGCAGCTTTTAACTTAGCAGCTCCAGTTAATTCTTATATTATTTTTCGCGTATCATGACAAATAAAACACGTGATGTTTTTTAAACTGTATTATTTGCCGCTATTCCATTGAAACGTTTCCAGACTTTTTAAGACCTGTGAGTGAGTATGGTTTTACGCGGCATTTAGCAATATTCCAGCAACAACACGGCGGGCGACACTAGAAAATGGGCTTCACACATTGTACCCATGTGGGGGATTGGATCGGATCTTCGGCGCGACAAGAAAAAGCTTTAACCACTACCCCACCGCCTCATTAAGACTTGTATGAAAACATTACCTTGCTAATGATATACACAGTGTATAACGAACGAAAGGGGCAGTTAATTTTATTTCGTTGTACGCATTTCGATTAAAATATGAAACAAGTGAACATGACAATAAACCAATACCGTTCGTTATATCCGTCTGTTCGAATTCTTTACTTTATATTGGTCTTCAGCAACCCATGCTTGTCGCAGAAGGCGACCGAGGGGTCGGGTGGTCAGGCTCACTGACCTGGTTGACACATGTCACCGTATCTCAATTGCGAAGATCGATGCTCAAGATGTTGATCACTGCATTGTCTGGTCCACACTTGATTATTAACAGACCGCCGCCTTATAGCGAGAATATCAATGAGCGCGGCGATAAACAACAAACAAATATTTAGCATACAACAGAAATAACTGTCAGGGTAACTGTAGTGATGCTTAACGCAAACAGACAGATTATGAACAGGCAGAAGTCGTGTGTACCATGTCAGTCTGTCTTGTCCAATAACGGGAACAATATATATCTGCCTTGTACCCGGACGTATATAGTGATAGCGGGATGCTATGTTACATAAGATAATAAGAAAAGAATCCACCTTCTTAAAACAACCACACTTTGTCTTTTAATAATTTCTATATGATATGAAGCTATTCTTCAAAGGCATTTAGAAGTTGGTGTAGTAATACAAGACAAATCTTATGGATAACAACTTCTTGATTTATTTTAAACAACGTTTCTGGGCCAGTTCTTGCCCCTGACCACCTGACGAAGGGGCAAGAACTAGCCCAGAAACGTTGTTTAAAATAAATCAAGAAGTTGTTATCCATAAGATTTGTCTTGTATGATATGAAGCTAGACTGAGAACAAACTCATGTATAAACACGATTATCTATTTGAGTAAATTCAAGTATGTAAATGTCATAAATTTAATTAGTGTTACATTTGTCAGTCATTAAGACACTGAAACCAATATATCTATATAACCAATATAAACATATATGTATAACCAATATAAACACGATTATCTATTTGAGTAAATTCAAGTATTTAAATGTGATAAATTAATTAGTGTTACATTTGTCAGTCATTAAGACACTGAAACCAATATATCTATCCCATTACAGTTTGTAATAGTTGGGAAGTTTGCAATCTGAAAATGAAGAGAGTATCTCGACAAACTTTTATACTATTTATCAATTTTTTCTGAGTGTATATTTTTTTCATTCCCGCAATTACTAGTATATTCTAATTGCCATATATACTGATTTTATAATTAAATAAGTGTTATTCAGAAACTAGACTAGGGCGCACCCGTTTGAACTCACGAATTCGTCACGTGCCGTTCAGTTGAAATTTCGTCATGATTAAAAGCAAACTGAAAAATCCAGAAGTCCTTTGTGAAGTACATTCATGCAGGGAGACTGTAAGATTATCCCTGATTCATGTAACCAACACAAGTGTTTTGCTGGTTGAAGCGCGCGCCTTTTATGGTTGTTATCATATTTTGTTTGATCCAGGCAACACAGGTACTATAGTGTGGCTAAATCCAACCAGATTGGTCACGTGTGTTGACAATACAATCGGTAGGTATTTGACTATTTTGAAACAAACTATAGATCCAAGGCGCTCGCGATGGTGTGCATGTGACGTCACTGATCTAAGTAATGGTGAAATGTGCTCTTCGAGATCTGGGATATACCCTATTGATAAATTGAGTTGATTCAACAGTTTCAACTCGTACGCTGTGGTAAGGTAAGCCATAGACAAGTTCTACAACGTCTCTTGAAAGTTTATCCGGCTGACAATAACATTGCAATTGTTTTCCTCCAAGAATTTCGCACCTGTGGGTTTAGACTCATCATCTCATGGCAGCTTATATCACGTCGTTGATTACTTGATCGGTTTCTGTCTGATAGTGTCGTTTGTCGTGTTTGCCGTATGATGTATTGGTGACAGTTATCTAACGAGTTGGAGCGACATGTTTGTCGTGCTGTCGTGAATGTGTTCACACTTTCAAGATGACCGGCAAGAATATGGATACGCGCATTGATGGGTTCGCTTCGCGCTTTACAGCAGAGCTAAGGTGTCTTGAGATTATCAAACCATGTAATGAAGAAATGCCTGTGTGGTTGGGGCGGTGGTAGAGTAAGATTGTATGTAACACCGAATCATATTTTTCAATTATCATTTTATGCAACATTTTTCCTGACATCGCCACCCCTGTTGCTAGGCTAACAAATAATCGATCAGTTCTTGAGTTATCATTCGTAAAGTTCGTGAGGTCGGACGAAATATGGAAACGTACAACATTATGAATAACTTTATATTTATTGCGTTTAAGTACAATTTGTTAAGTTCAGTAAGCAAGATGTTATCAATGAAGTTGTTTCCTTATTTGGCAAGTCCGATTTTTTTCAATGTATTTTATTCATTTCAGCCATTTTAACAATTTACATAAATTCCACAGTATTTGAGACAATAAGGGTACATTCATTTGCCATAATAACCATGACAGATTTTTGTAACAATTGTTTCGGCCATTTGCTTTCAAAGTTTTGGACACTATATGTTTGGGGATATATGATTCAGAAACTTCCGTCCAGTATCAATACCCAACAGTGTCTCACAAACTGAAAAGTTTACATCAATATTACATGGTCTATATGTACTGGCTAGCGAACAGTTATCGCCAATACATCTGTATCACACCTGTGCAGTTCCGGTCAATTACTATTCCGGTATTTGTTCCTAGGGTATTTGACAACAATATAGGACAGCAAAAGAAACTTCTTCATGGTAGATAAAGTTGTGAACCCTACAACAAATTTTTAACTTAGTCGGGGGGATGTCCCGCGACCTATTAATAGCAAATTCAAGTTCACAAGTCATTAATTGTTTCATTCCATATCAGTAACTGTAAAAGAAACGCTCAAACAGTCACACAATCATTTATTCGAGGTTACTGTATATATTATTTCACGAATGGCATGATCAATTCTAAATGGCGATAATTGTTAGAGTTAGTTGTGAGAAAACATCTATTTATACTTCTGTGATTCACTTCCGCCGCCTTATATAAAAATGATCAGCGGCAGTAAATGGTCTAGACACATTGGTGAATAGCTAATTAAGTATCATAATTAATTCTGTTTCATAAATTGAACAAATGGCAGAGTAATTTTGTAAATATTGCTAAAATATGGCGATAACCGTTTGCTAGCCAGTACAGTTTCAGGTTATTCCAAAACTCATTCACAGGCAAGTCCTAGATAATGCTTAAATTTAAGCCCATACTGTTTTGATTTGAAGAAATTTAAGAACTATTTTTGATGCTCCACCATAACACAATAGCTGTGATATATGTTGGCGAACCCTCTTTCACTGTCAACTTTTTATACCACCCTATGCCCCACCCTGAATCAGTAACCTGGAATTTTCCTCTACTCTCTCCCCGTACAAACCTCCAGCCTTTAAAACCAGTTGTGCATTGAAAAGGATATGTGAAAGACTTTATAAAAGTTAAACAATACCGTAGTGATCCAAACAATGTTAGGAAGCCTGATCCACTTAGCCCACAATTGACTGGATAAGGCCCTATCGGAATTGTTGTCTTAGAGTGAAGGGCTACTTATTATGCTTGTATAGGCTTAAAGTATTGCTGAAAGGGTCGTTGTTGGCACAGGTAGTACTGGCTAGTGAACAGTTATCACCGCATAGCAGTTATCGTCAATACATCAGTATCACACGTGCACAGTTCCGGTCTATTACAATTCAGGTATTTTTTCCCACAGTATTTGACAACAATAAACGAAAAGCAAATGAAAATTCTTCACGGAAGGTAACATAAGAGAAAAATAAAGATGAAGTTATGAACCCTATATCTTTTTTGAACTAAGTCGGGGGGACGTCCCACTGTCTATATAATAGCAAATTCGAGTTTACAAGTCATTAATTGTTTCATTCCCTATCAATCTACTGTAAAAGAAACATTCAAATAGTCACACAATCAATTATTCGAGGTTACTCAATACTATGAAGATAAAGCTACTCTGTTTTTAATTTTGCGGTCCTTTATCGTTGTTTTAAGACCGCAAAATATAATTTAAAAAACGTTAGCTTGAGGTTAAACATTTAGTGGCCTTAAATCAACGATAAAGGACCGCAAAATTAAAAACAGAGTAGCTTTATTTTCATTCTAGCACGACTGATAAGCATTTTAAAACCGAACTGTTTGGCGCGCAAGAACACAAGGCGTGAAGGGGCCTTTTTCCTGGAAATCGCATGGAATCGTCCCGTTGAGGGACAGGTTGTGTTATGAACAAAATAAGACATTTTCAACAACATAAATGCTATATTTCAGGAACCTGTATGCTTGTATTTGTAACAAGTAGCATACATTAAAAAAAAAAAAAAAGTTATTACTGTGAGCAAGTTCAATTATTTGATTTTTCCCAAGCAAATTATTGATCTCCCCTACTCTATGACAATCGACTAGTGTTGGGAATTGGTTAAAATCTAATAATTGATGATTGGTCCATTACAACCGATAAATCATTGAAAATAATCGGTTAGGGTCATTTATCAAATGTTCCTGTTATTTTTGTTAATGCACAAAAAATAAAAGAAAAAACATGTAGTAGTTTTTGTTTTTTTTGCAAATTTTGCATATTTAATTGATGATTAGTATGTTAGGAACACATATTTCCTGGATTCTTTAAGATAAATTCAATCATGACTGGGAACGAGCTTGTACATGTAGTGCTTATGAAATGTAAATTTAATGACACAGACAAAACCAGCCTTGTGAAATATATTGTTAATGCAAACAAGTGTTCCAAGATTGGTCGTGTTCGATTATGAGAAAACATGTTCTGAATAGGCTTGGTCGCTTAGTCACGCGCTAACCAATCTTGATGATTTTCAATGGTATCGGACCACCACTACTACACTTCAAGCCGTGAACTCGCTAAGTTTAGTCGCCGCTAACTGTATTCACGGAAATAATTATTGATAACCCACCCTACTATGACATGACATGACATGCCACGTTTTATGTGGGATACATGGACAGTGGAAGTGGAAGGACTGGGCATTACGGCCGGGACGGAAACGGTCAGGTTAGGACGTGTGGGCCGACTTGTGTTTGTCAATGTCATGTCCGCTAGATCTAGACCTGGTTTAAATACTGCCGCTTTTGCGATGCTGACAAATTTCCAGCTACTTAGTTTGTTCACTGGGATTACTGACAAGAAATTCTTCTTCAAACCATTCGCTTTTTACTTAAAAAACATCAAAGATGCTGCCGAGGTAGAAATCGCCGATGTCCGACATGTTTGTTTACAAACAAAAGGGTCAACGAGTTCATTGTATTCATACGCGGTGAATCGGTCACTTTAATTAGCGGTCTTAAACTGCAATTTAAGTATGGTTTTGATGAGCTCTCAGCCAATCAAAATCGAGTATCACACAATGTCGTGCTAGAATGTATGATATAAATATATATATTATTTCAAGAATGACATGAGAAATTCGGAATGGTGATAACTGTTGTTACAGTTAGTTGTGAGAAAACATCTATTTATACTGCCATGATTCCCTTCAGCCACGTTATATAAAAACATGACCGGCGGCAATGAACAGGCTGGACACATCGGTTAATAGCTAATTAAGTATCATAATTAATTCATTAATTTAACAAACAACGGAGTAATTTTGTAAATACTGCTAAAATATGGCTATAACTGTTCGGTAGCTAGTACAGACGTGTAGCCCTGGTACGGTTCTGTATACAGAAACGTACCCTAGTATAAATCAGAAAACAGAAACATACCTGTACCCTAAATGGGGGGCAAGTCCATATTCCGTAACCCAAACCCAAAACTGTATGCTGTTGTTACCGTTCAACTGATTGCAAGTGGTCTTGTGTATCGCGAAATATTCGTTATTGTTTATGCTAATTTCTTATACAACGCAATCAAATGTATCTAATACAACAGTATGACAGTTTTGATCAGGAAAACGGCACAATGCAGAATGGACCTGTTCAAGGGTACGTTTCTGTATTCAGAGGTTGGTTAGGGTACATTTTTGTATATATGGTATATGTATGTAGTGCCCATGCCGACAAGTTGCGACAACGACCCTTTCAGCTAAAGTATTGGCTTATGGGTAGTTTACAGTTCTTTCATGTTGACACTTGTACCATCTGGGACCTCAGTCACAACTAGAGTGTAGTAAAATTCTGTTGGGTCCAGTAAGTTCAGCTATTAATAGCCTGTATGATAATGCGAAAAGGATATTGAGCTTAGTAGATTCAAAACATATTAGCTAAGATGGCCCGAATTTGCTTTGATGTCAACATGATTAAAGGGTAGAAGGTTGGAAAATCTGGGTTAGAATTGATCTTCGGCAACCTATGCTTGTTGTAAGAGACGACTAACAGTATTGGGTGGTCAGACTCGCTGACTTGGTTGACACATGTCATCATATCACAATTGCGTAGATGGATTCTCATGCTGTTGATCACTGGATTGTTTGGTCCAGACTCTATTATTTACAACATTGTTATTGCTGACAACAAGCCAACAACAGTAATCTTATTCCTGGAAGAGATTTCTGCATTAACCAAGGTTTCTTTCCCTGATTAACAAGAAAACTGGTTATCATGATTTATATAGCACAACAAAAGAATATGTCACCAGTTCCTGTTCTGTACTGTTTGAACTTTATAATAGAACCATAACTGTGTAGATAGAAATATTGAATGATCATTTGATCAATCTCTTCAGCACCAGCTGTGGAACAGAATTATGAAACTGAGCCACTATTCTCAACACTGAGCAGAACTCTAAAACCTTTCAATGATTCTGCACCGAACTTGGCACATAGATAGGCCTGGTGGTGAACTGTTGCCTTTGGTAGTTTTGGATTTCTGAATAAATCTGTTTTGCATTTCCATGTCAACAAGTTTCATGTCAACTGAAATTGGTGGTAGTGCTCTTTTCCAGTGCAGAACTTTAAAACTGTTCAACGTTTCTTCACCAATACTGGCACATAGATAGGTCTGGTGGTGAACTGGTGGTGAACTGGTGCCTTTGGGCAGTTTGGATTTCGTGTATTTCTAAATAAAATAATTTTTGCATTTCCATGGCAACAAGTTTGACTTTGACTGAAATTGGTGGTATTACTCCTTTCCAGAGCAGTACTTTAAAGCCTTTCAATAATTTAATTCCACTTTGTGGGTATTCAACAACCTAATGACTAAGGCTGTAATGATTCACTCGCATATTCGGTGAATCGAACCATAGCCCTTCATGAATTCAATTCGTTATTCATGGTCACCAGAACCGAATATTAATGAATATTTACGATTTTTTTAAGGGAGCATGTTTTACTTGAACCCTTATGTCCTTTTCCAAAGTGAGATTATGCAAGAATGGAACATGTACTAGCATTGCAGTAGTGCAAGTCATGTTAGTTTGGTACTGTCGATTATAACTAGTATTACATACCAAATTTGAGTGTCATGAGATCACTAATTATTGCTGTGACAAATCAAAACTGTCAACGTGGGCGTTCCATATTGTACATCAGTCACTTAAGTACAATATAAAATAATAAAAAGTAAAATATAATTATTCGTATTCGTTACCCAATATTCATGATACGTATCATATTCGCCACCTAGTGTATTCGTTGCAGCCTACTAATGACATAAAATCAACAGTACCACTCTATATCAGTATCAACATTCCTGAGGTGCATCAAACCGTGGAAGCACTCAGGCAGTCTATTGTTGATACAAGCATGCTAGTGTATGAATAGTTTACATAATATGTATATTTTCAATGTGAATCACAATGTAACATTTGACATAGTCATAACTAGTTGACATGTTCATGAAGAGTATTTTACCATTGAGGGGGATATTGCTGACTTTGTCTTCTTGTTGCGTTATATTTTTGTTGACCTTGGTCAATGGCCTTTGCAAATCGGCAAAAGTTTACGTTGATGAATAAGCAACAAGTTCAAGTACCTGACTCTCTCTTCAAAACAAGTTCGACCGCCTCCGCGTGATATTGGTGTAGTAAAAGTAAAGAGCGTCAAAACCGAGAGCTCGGAAGGTCGTTAGTTCGATCACCCGACAGCGCCATACCAAAAGACGACAAAATATGGTACTTGTTGGTCCCTGCCTGGCGCTCGGCATTAATGGGTACAACAAGGACTGGTCGGCTCGGAGTCAGTATACTGTGTCTGAGTGGGGTATTCATGCTTCACTGCGGCATGGTATCTCAGTGAGCTAGCACTATAAAACCATCTTAAGTCTAGGCTAGTACAAGCAGCCGCACATACACATACACACGCATGCACGTCGTCATATGAGCGAAATATTCTCAAGCACGTCGTTCAACCCAATTTCACCTCACCTCTCCTCAAAACAAGTTCATAAATATTCGATTCTACCGAACATGAATAATGTATTGGAATCATGAACATGATGGAGTAATACAGTTCGATTCACCAAATATTCCATAGACTCATAACATCCCTAATAACCTTTTACTAAGGGCTGGAATGAGTACACAATAAAACGAATGTGATATGTGTCATGAAAATATAGTAACGAATATGGATATATATTTCTGAATACTTTTTGATTAATATAAACAAATTAAAATAAGAAATATGTCATGTACTTTAGTTGAAACATTCATGTGATATTTTCTGTAAAGCAACAATAGCAATACTTTGCAAACACTGCCGCTTATACTATAGCCTAATGACACAGTGCACTGAAGGGCCTTGGCGAAATAACACAACTGTGTAGCTTGGATATACTGGGTTCAGTGTTGACATTTGTTACAAGACCAGTGGACTAGTGGGTCTTAAAATTTACTAGACCAAGGATGCATTTCTGTGGCATTTCTGCATCAAATATGAATTGCCACTGACAGAAATTTGGGTTGCGTCCTGTGGACACAAAATACTTGAAAACTGTGACTGCATCCAAAAAATACAGGTGCGGCCTAAGTAAATATGATGCAATAAATATTGTTGTCATTTGCCAGTTTTAATCCACATGTAATAATATCCCTGATTTGTTGTTGTAATAAGTTCAGCCAATGAAATCGTGTGTTTCTACAAATCTTTCATTTGGTAACTTTCGGTTTCAGTTTTCGTTCATGATGCAGTGTTTTCCATCATGTTATAGTAACTTATAGTCCATTTTGCGTAGCTCACTTAGATAAACATTTGTTTGAGTGACAATCAAGAAGTTGGAGGTATGGAGATGACAAGACTTTATGGATGATCAACTTCTTTATTTTGACAATGACGACGTTTTCGATATAGATATATCATATGCTTGAAAACGGCATAAGAAGCTATACTGAAACGTCGCCCTTGTCAAAATAAAGAAGTTGATCACCCATAGCGTCTTGTCACCCCTACCTATACTTGGAACAAGATTGTTTATCTAAGTGAGTGAGTGAGTTTAGTTTTACACTGCACTCAGCAATATTCCAGCTATATGGCGGCGGTCTGAAAATAATCAAATCATGACTAGACAGTCCAGTGATCAACAGCATGAGCATCGATCTGCGCAATTGGGAACGGATGACATGTGTCAACCAAGTCAGTGAGCCTGACCACCCGATCCCATTAGTTGCCTCTTACGACAAGCATAGTCGCCTTTTGTGGCAAGCATGGGTTGCTGAAGACCTATTCTACCCCGGATCTTCACGGGTCGTTAATCTAAGTGAGATACACATGGACTATGACATTGTCTAGTAAATAGCTGATCCGGTCTAGTGAAAATCATGGCAATATTCCAGCAATATCACAGTGGGGGACACAGGGCTGGAAATAACCCATTGCCCGACGTCCGAGTCCAGTGTTTTATTCTGTCGGGCAAGCAAATTTGTATATCACACTGTACCGGTGTCCAGTTGACTTTCCAATGTTAATTATGTTGTTTATTTTAAAAAATCAACAAGAAAACGGCCGGTATAGTGGAAAAATTATCAGGGCAAGTGATTTTACATGTGCCACAATACCGGAGTACACTTGCAATTTTAAAGTTATTTCCACCCCTGGGACACCAGAAATGGGCTTCACATATTGTACCCAAGTAGGGAATCAAACCCGGGTCTTCGGCATGACAAGCGAATGCTTTAACCACTACTTGATCATCCATAAAGTCTTGTCATCTCTATACCACCAACTTCTAGAATGCCACTCAAACAAATGGGTAGGGGTAGCTTAGTGGTTAAGGCGTTCACTCGTTACACTGAAGACCTGGGTTCGATTCACCACATGGGTACAATATGTGAAGCCCATTTCTGGTGTCCTCCGCCATGATTTTGCTTGAATATCGCTAGTAGCAGTGTAAAACTAAAGAGAAACTATATAGTACCGTTTATACCTATAGAGACCATGAATATTGAATTGAATTCATGAAGGTATATGGTTCGATTCACCAAATGGAGTGAGTGAATCATAACAGGACTTATAATCACGCCTAATATGTTTGTATGATTTCATTTCAGATATTTATGGTAACGTGAGACGACAGAAACAAAATGGCAGAACTGAAGTCCTACAAACCAAAGGAAGTCAATGAAAATCAAAATGGAGTTGTATCAGGTAGGTGATGGTCCATCGGAGTTATCTCTTCCTCCATTGGTTTGGTTGTGGTTTGATTGTCCCCCACCGCAACGCGGAACGGGGGACTATGCAGGGCTCCAGATACGGGCCGTATTGACGTATGTACGGCTAAAAAATATGCATGATACGGTGGGAAATAATTTAGAAAACGTAGCGGATACACACCACACCAGTGGCATACGGTCTCAGAATCATTTACAGATGTATTTATCTGAAAACTTATTATTTTATTGTTTATTGCTCCATTTACACAAAAGTAGCAATGTTGTGGTGCATATATGAAACGAAACACAAGATTACTGATACTGCATTAAATTCCATTCAGTACTCGAAATGTACTCTTAAGGTTTTCCAGTACTCCTATACTGCAAAAATAAGGAGTCTGTACTCCTGATGTTGAAAAATTATCTGGAGCCCTGGGACTATGGATTCAGCAGTGTCTGTACGCACGTCCTGATTTTTGTTAACGTGATATCTCATGAACTTTTGTACCCAAAGTCTTCAAATTGGTGACAGTCTACGTTTGGGGATTACGCAGACACTGTTCGATTTGGGTGTCCTTGATGTTAATTTCAAGGTCACCATGACACTTTAACCACTTTTCAAACTCTTGTTAACGTGATATCTTATGCACTGTTGTAGCCAATGTCTTTTCAAACTTATGTAAACGCGATATCTCATCAAACGTTGCATCTGCAGGAACACTGGGTTAAATTGTAGTGTAAGCAGGGGGGCAGGGGCTTCATATCGGGATATTCAAACGATACGTACCGCATATAGAATAACTGTCTACCAGATAGTCTTGTAGCACATTGTTTCACTTGCTCTACTACGGGACAACTTCTTGACCAGGGTTACCGTTCATCGTAGCGCTAGATACATTGGGTAGGCCACGTGGTTGGTGCTAAATATGTTGGGTAGGCTCTGATTGGCGGAGACGTCCGTCATCAGTAGGTGAACTTTGACCCATGTCAGAGTTCGTTCTAGAGCGCTGTATAAGTGACCTGGCTCTCTGGATTCAGTGTCTAGCTTTCGGTCATCCGAGCAACATCAGGTAATATCTCTGTCCCGAGGTCCTGTTTCAGGATCATTCCCTCCCCGTTTACAGAGTGGAATGTTAGGTTTTATGTAGGGGATGCTAGGTTCCTTATATAAGTGTTAGGCCGGGTTGGGGGAAAAGTAGAAGTAGGAAACGAAATAGGTATTAGCAGTGTATGAAATAAGGCCCTTCCGACCGCCCGAGACGGTCTAGATTTCTGACGGACAGTCTAAACTTACAGCTAGCCAGCCCGATGGTCTGGTAAAAAATTTAGATGTCCCATACATCTGAATAAATTCACCATATTTGGTCTGGTTAAATCCATTTTGGGCTGGTAACATTTTGAAGTTACTGGTATTAGGCTTTAGACCTTGGGTAATGTCCAGTTGGATGGGGTTGGTTTGGGGTGGCTTTTCAGAAGAAGTTTGAATATGGATTGTTAAAATGGGGAAGTTAGGTTTCTTTTAAACTAGTGTTAGGTTGGGTTGGGGGGAGAATTAGGAGTAGGAAATGAAATAGGTATTAGGCTTTAGATCTTGGGTAATGTCCAGTTAGACGGGGTTGTTCGGGAGGTTTTATTTTGAAGAGGTTTGTAGGGTTGTTTTTTTCCTCATGAAGCTGGTTTCTTAAACTTAATTATGTGAGTGAGAGAGAAGTGTAGTTTACAGACTGTTAAGTTTTTGTTGGTCTTTTGTAATAAATTATTATCAGTGTTATCTTGTGTCTGTTATTTCCCAATAGGCTTTATGCCCGATTTACGAACTGGTCACTGAGTTTTGAGTAGAGAACAGATCAACCCGAACGCACACCTGTAAAATAAAAGTACACAACGCAAAGTCCAAACAAGGTTGATCCAACATCATGTTCCTGCATACTACTTAACTTAACCCATTCAACACCGTAGGCCGGAAAACCTGCCAAGACGTCACGAGTCCCCAGACACCGTTAGGCCGGTAAACCGGCCAGGCAGTAGTGGCATCAAAATTACATATAATTTTAGGAACCTAACTAACATATGATTCTTTTATCAAATCTATCACATTTCACATTAATCACAATGTCTGAAAACACTTATTAAATTTCAAATGACCATATATTATCGACAGGATTAGAATTATAAACTATTTTTTGCAATGTTATTGGAAAAAACAATTCTCGGACACATGCTTTGGCAGCGGGTCCACAATAACATTGTCAAAGAGCAAAGTAACGATGTTTCAAGGAAATCATTAAATAAATTGAATAAACTAATGAATAAAATCAACAGCAGCATTCATAAAAGTTGTCAAACGTACTTATAAAATTACTATTTCCATCTTTTTGTGCGATCATGTAATGTAAGTCAAGTCACTGACAAGTGACATCTCGGCTCTCGCTGCCTCAATCTTCACGCTCAGACGATGTTTAATGCAAAAATATATGCATGAAGCATTTTTGTCACAGGTCATAACAGAGATGCCAACCACTCCAGTTTTGGAGGAGTTACTCCGATTTTCAAATACAAAATCCACACTCCGATTTGTCTATAAAAACTCTGATTTTTTAGAAAATACAAATATGTTTATAAATTTAGAATGTTTGAAAGAAGTTTTGTAATTTGGTCATAACCTAGCATGATACGTCCAATAAGTTCCATAATTTACGTATAGATAGCGATTTCTTGCTTAAAATGTTCAGAATAGCATTATTTTACCCAAAACTTTCGTCTAAATCTAAAAGTTTTCGTTCACGAGGACGGTATCCATTGCCATAATGTGATTTGCTGCCTTAGGTCACGTGTCTGATTTTGACCAATCACGACCCTTATAGCAGACTGGCGAAAAAGCGTCATTAGAAACCAATCTTTATCCAATAAAATCGCTTCTTACAACTGTGAAAATACTCTCGGCAAGGGTACAGTGATATTGTTGATGTTCAGAGCTTTCGAACGATACCCGACATCAAACGATTCGCCTCGCATGTTATTCATACGAAGCTTCAAAACCGGTGGGATTTTTCTGTTGTTGTGTCATGTTACCGAGCGGAAAGCCACTGATATCGGGAAATAGGCGACCACACATATTATTTAAGAAATCTTTTTATAATAATTTTCTGATTACGTAACAATGAAAATATAGAGAAAAAGGCACGGGGATGTTATGACATGTCACAAATGGAAAAAAATCGCCATAGTTTTTGCTTCTTTCGTGGTTTATCTGGACATTATAAATGTAAGCTTGCATTTTCATTACAAAAATAAATTTATTTAAGTTGTAGTTGTATTATTTGATAACATTATAAAAATAAACTTCATATTTATCAACAGTGGGATAAGATCTTTTAATTGGTGTATGAGATGTAGTAGCAATAAAGTTTTACAAGCTTATAATTTCCTTCATAAACATAGGCTTCATCTATGACCTTAGAGTCTCTGGGAACTCGGTGTCATGGCTGTAAATGCCTCTGGTTGACTGGTGTTGAAAGAGTTAAGGAAGGAAGTAAAATCAGGAATACTGAATGGAATTCATGATGGGATAATGTTCAGTTCACTGAATACAGGAGTGAATCATACAGTCATGTCATTTACCCAGGGCACCTTCCCCACAATAACTCTGTTTGGAATTTCGGGATTATTGATTACATTATTTTTGATTATTGGTTATTGATTTTCTTGTTTCATGGACACTAATTGTCCGAACGTATTTTTTCCTCATGAAAGTATTTTATGCTTTGTGTGTCCTGCGAGTTCAGTGGTAGAGCCTATCCAATGTATCACTAACCTAAGATTGTAATTTCTCCCTACTCATAAGCTTGAAATTATTTATCAACCAACCAGTTATGGTGACCTTACCTTAGGCACATGGAATGTTATAGTGCATCCAGAGGTACAGATAAGCTGCGTATCTGCGTATCTGCGTACATTACGCAAACATTTATGTGAAAACCCAATTCCTATTAAGTCTATTGCGTACAAGTACACTTGAAGTTTTGTAAATACTCAATAAATGTGATCTTACATGCGTACACACAAAAATGTCCGATCATAGCTTGCGTACCGGTGGATAGATAAAATAACTGACGTATATTGAGAGGTTCTATTTTAGGACATGAACTTGACAACTTGCAGTCTTTCTTATCGTTTCTCATGTTACAGATCAAAGGTAAATCACAAACACTAACATTTAAACTATATTATATTTATAAAATTAATGGAAAATGGCAAAATACCCAAATGAGTTTGATTGAGGTGAGTACAATTTATTTGGTTACTCAAAGGAAAATTAGGATACCCAATTGAGATGAACACAAGGGAGTACATAACTCAATGACCCAAAAGTTCTGGCATCATTCAGAACGTAAGGTACATTTCTCTGCGTTCATTGTGTCTATTTGTGTATACAGGTTGCGCATACTGCATGGTTTAAAACCCAGTGTCTGATATCAATGTCTTGAAAACAAACTAGAATGGCACATTCTGAAAGTAGAAAATAATGTTGTGCATTTGAGTTGTCATTATCCACAGAGCTACAGATAACTTTTTGGGTCATTGAGTTATGTACTCGCTTGTGTTCATCTCAATTGGGTATCCTAGTTTTCCTTTCAATAACCAAATAAATTGTACCTCACTCAAACTCAGTTGGGTATTTTGCCATTTTCCATTAATTTTAAAAACATAAAGTTTAAATGTTAAAGTACTGTCGGAAATAGAAAAATACTGTTTTAAGGCTATTACACTGTAGCTCTAAAATTTACACAATTGCAAATAGCATATGTCGAAAAACCCACATCGGCCTAACTGGGCGTTCAGTGGGATGCGAAATAGGATATTCAGAAAAGCATGTATACTCGTAAAATCGGACAAAACTTAGAAAAAAATATGAATAGCTGCTGAAAACAATAGATCAGACTATACATGGCAATTAGGTCGCTCAGCCAGGTAGGACTACGGACCATCGACTCACCTGGCATGAAATGCATGTGCTGCCTACATCTTCTCAAAGATATTTGATGCCTTTTCTTGGGTGTTGAATATGTTGCATCTATTGATTAACATCTTACGTGTATTTCTTTCATAAAGTTTATGTTCTGATATGTAAAAGAGTATGATACCTGTAGAAAAGCATAATCAGTCATCGTCTTAAATGTCTCAAAATATATAGGTGGCATGACCACCTGAAGATCGACAGGAATGGATATTATTTGTAAATTGTTATGGCATGCCGTTTACTTCCCCAGTTTAATTCCCCTGAAGGATCATCTTATCTTATCTGATATCTCTATACCCCAGGCCGACCCGACAACCGTCCTTTGTTTGCTTTTGAGACGACCCCTCCTACCTGTTTCTTTTTATAGTGATAGTGAGACTCCATGGAAGCTACACCCTTAATAGTTTCAGTATTAAAGTTATTATTTTTTTTATGTTAGCTATCGTTTATAATGAAGCTAAGTCTAATTTCAAAATGGGTATTTAAAAAGTGTCCTTTGTAATACAATATCATCACCCTCTAATTTGCATAAAGCCATGGCCTGTTCCAAACAAGTCGATTTGGACTTAGAAAAAACCCGCATTGCTCATTTCTGCACTAATCTCTCCTGAGTAAAGTCCAATTTTTACGTTTCCTATCTCCCTACCACTGAGACTATAGTTAGGCCGAACTTGGTTTAACAAATATTTCACACTTTCAAATATTATCTCCTTAAATGGTAGATGTAAATGTGAAATAACAGTTTTTTCTATTTCTGACAGTACTTTAGTGTTTGTTATTTATATTCGATCTGTGATATGAGAAACGATAAGGTAGACTGCAAGTTGTCAAGTTCATGTCCTGAAATAGAACATCTCAATATACCTCAGTTATTTTATCTATCCAACGATACGCAAGCAAAGATTTGACATTTGTGTACGCATGTAAGATCACATTATTGAGTATTTACAAAAATTCAAGCGTACTTGTACGCAATAGACTTAATAGGAATTGAGTTTTCACATAAATATTTGCATAATTTACGCAGATACGCAGCTTATCTTTACCTGTGATCCATAGTGTTATTTAAAGAGCCAAGTCTTCTACAGTCAAACTGAAGTGACATCAAGGATTATTTGAACGATAAAAGTCAGCTTTTAGTGTTTTTATTAATGCCGACAGAAATTTGAGGTGGTGAAACAATGAAACTTAGTAGTTTTTCAAAAGAGACAGAGTGGACTAGTGGTGGTCCGATTAATTGAAATAACCGAAGATTGGTCGCAATGACCAAACGACCAAGCAATCGATCACATTTTCTCATAATCGAACACAAACAATTTTGGAACTACTGTTTTAGTGTTTGAAACACTTGACAATGGAACATATTTTAGAAACTGGCAGGGCCTGAAAACATGTTTAATTCTTAGAAAACTCACTTCACTTACTGAAAAATCATGACTGAATTTTTTTTGAAGTGAGTGAGTGAGTGAGTTTGGTTTTACGCCGCTTTTAGCAATATTCCAGCAATATCACGGCGGGGGACACCAGAAATGAGCTTCACACAATGTACCCATGTCGGTCTTTTCTTGAAGACTCAAAAAAAAAAAAAAAAAAAAAAAAAAATACTCGAGAACCACGTTATACTTATATGCATTAACAACCTGAATAGGAAAATCTGAAAAATGATGCTAGCCAATTTTTTTTGATGATTGCTCATTGGTAAAGAACCAGTCATCAATTGTAAGATTTCAGCCAATTCCCATCACTAGAGTGAATCAAGAACCAACTCATTGTTCATTTATATTGGGGCTGTCAGAGGAAGCTCAGACTCTCACTTAACGATCTATGGTGCCTGAAGATCTATTGCAGTAAACCATTGAAATTCAGTGAGATTAATTAGGACTTTACCATAATTTAAGAGATTGGTAGCAATTCTGAATCAAGGAATACTTATGAAAACTTAGTATCATATTGAAGTAGATTCTAGTTACATAATGTTAATAGACGCATATTCTGAATCTGAACATGTTGAGAAAATTTGAACAATTAGCATTGTCAACAAAGTGCATGTGTGTATTTACACTGCTCTTGACGTGTACCATCCTTATCCTGGGTATCCATGTGGTTAACCAGAACAAACGCAAGTGCCAGTCTGGTTCCTAGGCAACCATCAGCCAATCAATATTGCTGCTTTTACGCAAACCATATCACCACCCAGATTCTGTTCCCGGGTCAGTAAGTACCTGGTACGAAGACATGAGATGGTGTTTGAGTAGGTAGTGCCAAGAAAAGTTTATTGTTTCGTTGCATGTAAGACTACAAGGTAAGATTGTAAGTTTCACAATGTGTCAAGGGACATTTGTACATTACTATATATGTTTTTAATTAATAGAATGGTTGACATGCTTATGGGTGTGTCCATCATTAAAAGAGTATTATTATTATCAGGGATGAGAAATCTGTGTATGTACATGGGATTCTGTGGAATTCATTATGCAAGGTAGACCTGTGATACATGCCATTAGGAAGTCTGTGGAATTATTATGGCTTGTATCACACAGGTGACGCTTGACTTGAAGAAATCTGTGGGATTCTGTATGTCTGACATTTACAACCAATGCTTGTGACATTCACAATGTTTCTGACGTTTACAACCAATGCTTGTGAAATTTGCAATGTTTCTGACATTTACAACCTATGCTTGTGACATTTACAATGTTTCTGACATTTACAACCAATGCTTGTGAAATTTACAATGTTTCTCACATTTACAACCAATGCTTGTGACATTTACATTACTCACATTTACAACCCATGCTTGGGACATTTACAATATTTCTGACATTTACAACCAATGCTTGGGACATTTACAATGTTTCTCACATTTACAACCCATGCTTGGGACATTTACATTTCTCACATGTACAACCAATGCCTGTGACATTTAAAATGTTTCTCCCATTTACAACCAATGCATGTGTCATATACAATGTTTTTCACATTTATAACCAATGCTTGTGACATTTATGTTTTTCACATTTTCAACCAGTGCTTGTGACATTTACATTACTCACAGTTACAACCAATGCCTGTGATATTTACAACCAATGATAATGACTTTAACATCCAGTTCTTGTTTTATTTATAGTACTTCTCATATTTACAACCCTTGCTTGTGACAGTTACAACCAATGCCTGTGATATTTACAACCAATGATAGTGACTTTAAGATCCAGTTCCAATGATAGTGACTTTAAACCCTTGCATCCAGTTCTTGTTTTATTTATAGTACTTTAAGATCCTGTTTTATTTATAGTACCCATATTTTGCTTGTGACAGTTACAACCAATGCCTGTGATATTTACAACCAATGATAGTGACTTTAACATCCAGTTCTTGTTTTATTTATCCAGTTTTATTTATAGTACTTCTCATATTTACAACCCTTGCTTGTGACAGTTACAACCAATGCCTGTGATATTTACAACCAATGATAGTGACTTTAACATCCAGTTCTTGTTTTATTTATAGTACTTCTCATATTTACAACCCTTGCTTGTGACAGTTACAACCAATGCCTGTGATATTTACAACCAATGATAGTGACTTTAAGATCCAGTTCTTGTTTTATTTATAGTACTTCTCATATTTACAACCCTTGCTTGTGACAGTTACAACCAATGCCTGTGATATTTACAAGCAACTTTGTTCCTTGTTTTCAGGTAAATCAACTCCAACAAATATCAGTGAGGTGGATGTTAATGAGAAGACAGGTGAGAATGGCTTAACACCTGTCGAACAAATAACCACCGCACATACCCTTCCAGGTAATAGCTTGCTTACACCTCATTAATGCTAATGGAGTTGCAATCACACGCTGGTGCAGTAGTTGCAGTAGTTGCAGTAGATGCCTCCCAGGGGCCTTGCATGTTGCAGTGAACGTTAGGAACAGCTTTAGTTTATTAAACTAGGTCAAAATTGGATCAGACCAGATGTCATTCTGACAAGTGTGCAGATAGTGTTGGTACAAATTTCCAAACTTACGTCAAAAATAAATCGGTATATGTCAGGACTCACGTTAAATATATAGAACTTGCACTGGTGCAACCTTAACCTGCAAAATGCTTCTTCATATTTATACCAACTTGCACCAAATGCATGTAGATATTTTCTTGTTCAAAGACCACAGTAACCTGTGCGGGGACTAACAGGATAGGGTGGTCAGGCTCACTGACTTTGTTGATAACATGGTCAATCAGACTGGCAGCGATAATGATCTTTATCAGGCTGTGCAAGATTTACTGCTGACAGACAGCTACTTCAGTTCCAATTCTGTCAACCAAGTCAGCGAACCTGACCACCAAATCCTGTTAGTCGCCTCTGGGTTACTGAAGATCGGATCTTCACGGGTGGTTCCCTAAGAGGAAATCCTGATAACATGGTCAGTCAGGCTGTGCAAGATTTACTGCTGACAGCCTGCTCAGGTCTTGATTATTCACCAAAATTAAAGGCCTGATACCTGATAAGGGTGTCATATTTGACTCTGAATCTTTACGTAAGGCGTTTAATGGGTAAGGGTGTCATATTTGACTTTAAATCTTTACGTAAGACGTTTAATGGGTAAGGTGTCATATTTCATCATAATTCTGCATGTAAAGGGTCACATTTGCAGTGATGCCAACCACTCCGATTTTCAAATACAAAATCCACATTCTGAATTAAAAATCGGTTTTAAAACTCTGATTTTTTAGAAAATACAAATATGTTTATAAATTTAGAATGTTTGAAAGAATTATTTGAGTTAAGAATTATCTGGTTAAGTATGCCCAGAAATTGCATATTTCCAGGCTAAATCTAAAGATTTTCATTTGGGAGGCCCTCAGACCCCCACTGTCAAAAGGGGCCTGAGCTCTCTCTCACGCTCACCCCCAACTCCCACCTTCAGGGCTCGGGAATAGCTTTTAGCAAGGCCTGACTGCTTTCATTTGATTCAGGGTTGGCATCTCTGCATTTGATTATCATTTTGTGCGTTATGGTATATGGTCAATATTAATCAAAAGAGCAAAGCTATTTTTTATGGATTGCAAACTTGTGTGTTAAGAAATTCAGATTTCTGAAACATATTTACAAAGAGACAGGCCAACATTCCACAAAGCAATCGTAGCTCTATGGCGATTGTAACTTTCCTGTTATAACATACACTTACGAATGTCATTGCGATACAATCAATTTGTGGAGCAGCACCCTTGAACAATAAAAGAAAGTTTGTTTTTGTTTCCTTTGGGTGGATTTTAGGATTAATATCAGTCTTAATAGTGTGTGCGAGAATATAGTTTTACCTCCTCTCAGCAATATTCCAGCCATATTCCAGCAATATCACGGTGGGGGACACCGGAAATGGGCTTCACACATTGTACCCATGTGGGGAATCGAACCCGGGTCTTTGGCGTGACAGGTAAAAGTTTAAACCACTAGGCTACCCCACTGTGCCAATCTTAAAAAATATTGGCTTTGGAAGTGAGCGAAGATGTAACAGTACATCAGGGCTCCAGATAATTTTTCAACATGAGGAGTACGTACTCCTTATTTTTTCAATACAGGAGTACAGAAAAAACTTAGAGTACATTTAGAGTAATAAACTTAATAGTACATTTAGAGTAATAAATGGAATTTAATGGCGTATCAGTAGTCTTGTGTTTCGTTTCATATATGCACCACAACATTGCTAGTCTTGTGTAAACAGGTCAATAAACAATAAAACAATACTTTTTCAGATAAATATGTCTGTAAGTGATTCTAAGACCGTACACCATTGCTGTGGTACGTATCTGCTATGCGTTCTAAATTATTTCCTACCGTATTGTGCATATTTTGTATCCGTACATACGCCGATACGGCCCTTATCTGGAGCCCTGGTACATATGTTTACCTTCGCAGAATAAAAGTAGGTCTGCCTGTCTCACAAAAAAGTATATTGCCATTTTGTTCGACTTTATTGCATGTATAAATTTTAAGGCGACAAATGAACAGTAACACAACTGTTCTTATGTGATATATCATTGATCATGCTGTTGGGTGTTACTGAAGATAGTGACATGCCAATTTTATTTACAAATGAGTCATGATTCTAGAGAGCAAGGAAATTGTATCATTGCAATCACGTGGTTTTACCAGACACAAAGTATTTCCTATAATAAGAATAAATGGAAGGTAAATCCCTGTATGACAGCCGATAACTTGCTCTTCCTGTATTGGTCATGGCGTTCCTGCAACCCTTGCTGTGTAATTGAGGTCATATCTTTTTTAGGTAATACAGAACTTAGTTGAAATTCCAATATTGCCTTTAAAAAAGTTCCAACAGCATTAGGCTTTTTGTAACCGAAACGTTTGAGTTTTGCAAGTGTGACATGTATTTATGTAATGCAGGAGCAACCATGAGAAAGATGTCTGTGTTATGGTATTATTACAATATCAAGGGGACATTTATGTCTATCTCTTCTAAATGTCATTCAGGCTGGTGAGGTAGCGTAATTGTTAATGCATTAGCCCATCATGCTAAATACCTGTGTTTAGGTGACAGCGGTACAATGTGTTGCCCATTTCTGGTGTGCCCAGCTGTGATATTGCTGGAAATTAGTGGAATATTGCTAAAAGCGGCAAAAAACCCATATTTTATTAACCATGACAGCTCGGAAACCATGAATTTCCATAAAATCCCTATTTTGGAATGAAGTAATATTTTGTTCATCTTTTGGCTGTGATAAGCACATCATTATAAATCCTAAAGTTTATCAAGTAGAAAGTGATGACATGTTTTCCTTGGCTGGTTTCCTTGGTTGAAGTATTTGTTTGGGGTCATCATGACCTTGATTTCAATAGCAAAGGAAAGCTGACTCAAGGACCAGTTACGTTGCATCAGAATTTCAGATGCACAGATCTGACACTCTTAACCAGGCCTATAACACACACAATGACGAGCGGTGCCGGGGTAGCCTAGTGGTTAAAGCGTCTGCTCGTCATGCTGAAGAACCGTGTTCAATTCCTCACATGGGTACAATGTGTGAAGCCCATTTCTGGTGTCCCCCGCCATGATATTGCTGGAATATTGCTAAAAGCGGCGTAAAACCTCTCTCACTCACTCACTCACTCAGAATGATGATCAAATATGACACCCTTTACCATGACCTTTACATTCAGAATTATGATCAAATCTTACACCATTTCACTTGACTTTTACAGACAGAATTATGATCAATTATGCAGGGATTTACATGGAGTCCTGTATTTGAGGGTCCTTGGGACTCATGCTCTTAATTTTCAGGGGTCCTGGACAACAAAATGGGGGTGCCAGACACTTAAATATTATTAATAATACTGTCATTGTATTGTGTATCATGATCATCACATTGTTACAGTAATTAAATTGCAAATAATACCATAACCCAGCTAGTAGCAAACTCAGTGATAACTTATTGTCACTTGATTTGAATTTTCACAAAAAGTATTTGGATTTTTTCTGAGTCCCTGTGGGCACGCTAATAAATTTTGTTGCGTCCATTGTCAATTTTTATGTGTATAGGACGCAGGAATTCACGTCCTGTAAATCCCTGATTATGACAACGTTAACTATTACCCTTGCATATGGAATTATGATCAAATATCACACCATATCACATGACCTTGACCCCTTTTACCATCACCTTTACATTCAAATACAGTCGAGCACTGTTGTGTCAAACTCTGATAACTCGATATCTCGGTTGTCTCGATATAACTTCTCGGTCCCGGCAAAATCCTTCATAATTTATCATTATTTAAGCTCTTTTAACTCGATACGGATGTCTTGATATCTCGATATAATTTCATGGTCCCAACAAGCAAAATTACCCTTTTAACTTCGATATTTGCAAGATACTCGATATTCACCTACCTTTCATTGGCAAGTATCCTCTGAACTGAGTTTGTTTCCACACGTTTCGGCATGAATCAGAGGGATGCATTAGTGTAAACTAATTAGGGTTAATGGAGTGGAAGGTGTCACTTGTTTGTTATTTAATTAGAATTAATTAAGAAGGAATTAATTAGGTAGTACTCACTGTTATGACTAAATGACGGATTATAGTTTCGAATCAAAACATACTGAGAATCCACTGAGGGTTTTGTGTAATCACGTGACTAGTATGTGATTGTTCTACTTTTGTTTTGTTTTCTTTCATAGTGATATGTCATGATATGCCCTTGTCGGATATCTCGAAGTCCAGATAACTCGATATTTTTTCTTGGTACCATGAATATCGAGACAACGGTGCTCGACTGTATAATATATTTACGATCAAGTATAATACCATTTCCCATGACCTCAACATACAGAATTATGATGATAGAATTTTGACTCTTTTACCCACATGTTTGCATACAGAATTTCTATCAGTTCTTTCAACTTCACCCACCACCTGTACGTACAGAATTGTAATCAGGTATCACACCCATGGCCTTTAATTTTTGTGCATTAGATAAACTTCAGTAGCAGGCTGTCAGCAGTAAATCTTGCACAACCTGATCAATATCGTTATCAGTCTGATTAATAATGTTAGCCGGATTGCCTTTTAGAGGACAGCCTTCTTTCTGTAGTTTGTACTGTCACAGCACAGGTTGAGGAAGGTCAGTCATGTACAGGGTTTTACACACACTTTGAAAAAAGAGAGTCATGGTGACCCACAGTATTTATTTTTGGGAGTCATTTTCAATATTTGGGAGTCGTGAAAATTTTAGCGTAATACTTATGTGTGTATATCAGAGTTTTGCAAAGATTTTATTGTTTTGTGTT